CATCTTCACCGTCCCCAGCATCCTCAGCATCATAATCATCCTAATCATCAGCATTATCAGCAGAGTCATCATCATCATGGACATCAGTTTCAGCATCAGCACCACAAACAGCATCATCATCAACATCATCACTCCCAACAACATCAACAGCATCGTCATCATCATCACCATAGTCAACAGCATCATCATCGCCAGCACCATCAGCAGCCTCGCCATCATCATCAGCAGCCTCATCAACAACGCCCTCGTCAACATCATCACAGTTCAGTGTTCCACACGTTTTTGAATCCCTAGTTGTCGCTTCCCTGCCGTCCATCCATGGCTGTTTGCTCAAAGTCTTTTTCCAGGGCATGAAGGAAGCCCTGCGGCCCCTCGTCGAGGCCAGCGCCTCGGGGATCCGCGAGATTGCCCGCGCGGGCTTCCACGCTGGCGCGTCCTGGGCGCTGCTGCCCAGCTGCCCTGCGGCGCCGCCTTGCCCGCCGTACCCGCCTTGCCCCGCGTGCTTCTGCACGTGCGGGGAGGGAGGCGGAGGCGGCGGCGCTCCTGCGGGCGGCGGCGGCGGGGGCAGCAGCCCTCCCTGGCTGGCGGCCGCAGGCGGGCCGGTGTGCGACGCGCTCGCCGACGCGCTCGTCGGGGCGCTGCGCGAGGCGGTGGAGGGCTGTGTCGGCTGGGGAGCCGCGATAGCGCTGGTGCTGCTCGCGCTGCTCGCAGGGTTCGGTCTCGGACGCCTCAGCCTCGCCGCGTCAGCCCGCCTCGAGCCTCGCGATGGCGCTGGTGCCCAGGGGATCGTCGTGGCGGCTTCTCCCGGGGTGCAGAGCAGTGGTGCGCTACGCCGGGGACGACCTCTGGCACGAGCGGATCCTGCTGTACCCAGCAGCCAGTGAGGCCGCGGGCGCCGGGCTCCCAGGAGCCTGCTGGGTGGTGTACACTCCCGACCACGATATGTACATCGAGGAGCTCGAGGGAGGCTCGCCCGACGACAGTCCCGTCGAGTGGCTGGAGATGCCGCGCGACTTGCGGCTGCCCAGTGGGCTTGGGCGGGCGTATCGCTTCGAGGAGGTCCCGACGGAGGAGGTGGTGAAGGGCCTCTACCCCCGGGCCTTCTCGGCCGCCCAAGCCGATGCGGAGGCGCGCGGGGTGCTCCTGGAGACGCCGGTGGCGGTGCGTACGGCCGCAGGCAGGGATGTGGCAGTGCACGAGGCGCTCGGGGCCAACTTCTTTGGCGGCCGACGGACGACGGGTAAGAGACCGCCTTCGGGGCTGGACCTTGGAGGAGACCACGGAGGCCACGCTGGACCAGCAGCTGCGGCCGCGGAGGGCCTCGGCGACAGCGGCGCCCCAGGGCCTGCGGTTGAGGGCACTAGCACGCCGCGCTCGAGCGGCCGCGTCTGGCGAGCAGCCGAGGCCGACGAGCGCTGCCGCATCGCGTTCGGGGATGAGTTGGGGCCTCCTGCTCACTCGCTCTGTGGCAAAGGGCTGTACTTGGCGGCTCCCGGGCGGGCCGTGGTGGTGCACCTGACGGGGCTCGACCAGGACTCCTTCGTGATGAGCCTGCGCGGAGGCGAAGGCCATCCCTTGAGTGCTGGGGCCGAGAACGGAGGAGGAGGAGATGTTCGAACCTTGACGGTGAAGAGTGGGCCGCGGGGCCGAGGCCGAGAGTGGCGCGAGGTCGTGGACGCCTGTGAGGAGGAGCCCTTCGGCGACTTCCCAGTGGCGGGGCCTCGTTCTGCTTGGTGGTGCTTGGACTTCTTGCGGCGGCGGCACACCCCCACGGATCATCACCTGATGTTCAAGACGACGGCGCGGCTCCAGTCGGAGCAGTGGGGGGTGCAGGAGCACGAGCAGCTCATGAAGTACATCGGGCTGGCTGGCACGCACGACCAGCTGGACCTCAGCAGCTGTGCTTTCGCCGAGGCGATCTTTCGGCGGGCGCAGACTATCGAGTGGAGCTACCACGATCGGTTGCGGGAGGCCGACTCAGCCAGCTCCAAGGACAAGATGAGTCCCGAGGAGTTCTCGGCCTTCAGCGGTTTCAGCAAGGCTGGGGACCTGCTGATGGTGGCCCCCACGCTCCTCGAGTTCGTGAAGGGCCAGGTCGAGAAGGACGCCGCCATCATGAAGAACATCAGGAAGGCTCGAGAAGAACGAGAGCTCCGCCGCAAGGGTCCCAAGGGTGATGGCGGCGGAGGGAAGTCATGACGGCGTCGCGGGAAGGAGGCCTGAGCGCGGCCGCCTCCTTCTCGAGCTTCAAGGCCGCCGAGCCCCAGGGCTCTCCTGCATGCGTACCTGGGCGAATTCAATTCGACGGAGTTCCAGACCGTCGAGACCTTTTCCCTGTCCCGCTGCTTCGGGACGGCCTGGCCCCCGCGGAGGGCGCGGCGAACCGCTCGGTTCGGCGCCGGCTGCTTCGGCGCGACGCTCACGTGGCTGAAGCCAACCGCGCTCTTGGGGCCCTCAATGATCTGGCTGGTCGGCCCGGGGCGCCCGGCGCTCCTGGCCTGGCGGAGCGGCTACCCCATCGCTTGGTACATGAGCGCGTTCGTCATGCTGCTGCGGCGCTGGGCCCCCCGCCACCTGGCCTTACTCCCGCAGGAGCCCTCCGTGAGCTCCGCGGTGCTGGCGTGTACGAGGACATCGACTCGCCAGTCGTCAGCTTCGACGATTCCCTCGCCCCGCTGACTGAGGCCGGCAACGTTCCTGTGCCGCTTGGGGAGCTGGTTGCAGGCGTGGGTGATCTTGATGTCGAGGCAGCAATGCACGAGCAGCTCCTTCCACGCAAGGATGCGGAGTCCAACCGCTCCGAGGCTCCGCGACAGCCGTACATGGATGCTATCCTACGAGCTCAGCCACACGCTTATGCTGGGCTGGCGCGGCGCTTGCATACGGCGGGGATGGTGACCTTCTCAGCCGCGCCGCGTGAGAGGTGCGGCCTCTTCTTTGCGCGTAAGAAGTCTGGCAAGCAGCGCATGGTGATCGACTGCCGGCGGGCCAACTGCTGGTTCAGGAGGCCTGCGACAGTCGCGCTGGCGACAGGCTCTGCACTGGGAGAGCTGGCCGTGCCAGAGGGTGAGCAGCTCTACGTTGGTCACGTGGACATCTGCGACGCCTTCTACCACTTCGGCTTGCCTGAGGCTTTCCGTGATTATTTCGCGCTGCCGGCGGTGAAGGCAGGTGATGTGGGGCTGACTGTCCCGGGCGGAAGGCCCCTCGCGCCTGGCAGCCGTGCGCGGCCAGTCCTGGCGGCGTTGCCCATGGGCTGGTCGCATGCGCTGTACTGGTGCCAGACCATTCACCGCGGGATCGCGAGCTCCATCCCCGCGCTGCTCGACGTTCCGTTCATTTCGGACAAGAGTGTAGCGCCGCCGGCGCAGCCACTGGCGATGACTATACATGTAGATATTTTTCTCGCCTTGGGCACGGATCCCGAGGCCGTTTCCCGCGCAGTGAAGCTCGTCAACGCTGCCTTGACGCCCAGGGGGTTGCCCACCCATGAGGTCTGTATGTGTGATCATAATGCCGACATCCTGGGGTGGGAGATTCGTGGGCGAGAGAGAGAGATTCGACCAAAGAGATCAAGGCTGTGGAGACTTCGCCTGGCGCTCGATTGTTTGACAAGCAAGGCCGTCGTGAGTCCTAAAGAAGTTGAGAGAGTGTTGGGCCATTGTACCTTTGTTGCACTTCTTTGTCGTGAGCATTTGTCGATCTTCAGGTCCGTCTATACTTTCATTCGGCGGCTGGGCCACTGTGCCGCGGCCCCTCTCTGGGAGTCCGTCCGATGGGAATTAAATACGTTCTCGAGTTTGCTGCGTCTGATTTCCAGGAAGCTGCAGGTGTCATGGAGTTCCAAGGTGATGTGCACAGACGCGTCCTTTTGGGGCTTCGGACTGGTCTGCAAGGACCTCGACAAGGACCTCGTGGGCTCGATGGGCTGTTTCTCAGAACGGTGGCGTTTCTTGGGCGACAACAAGGTGCTCTCCAGGGCTTGGGCTGCAGGCCCCAGTGAGGACGAGATCATCACGAAGCCCCTAGAGAGCTCCAAGGACTTCCAGCAGTTCGTGGGGGATGAGGAGGCCAGCAAGGAGGCCCGCACGCGGGCCGCTGGACGTCTTCCCGAAGCGGTTCGAGAGGAAGGTTGGGCTGTCGTGGGCTCGCACAAGTGGGGATCTCCGCCTGAGAACATCATGGAGGGGGAGGCCAGGGCTATCGCGTTCGGGGTTAAGCACATCTGCAGATCCACGAAGGCCTTTGAGTGTCACCACCTCCTGCTATCCGACTCGCTCTCGTCTGTCTTGGCTCTGGGCAAGGGCCGATCCTCGGCCCCCGGCGTCAGCGGCGCGCTGCGCTCCGTGGCAGCGCATGTCGCGGCGACGGGGCTCCGGCTCAGTGCCCGCTGGCTGCCTAGCGAGTGGAACTTCGCCGACGGTCCTTCGCGAGGGCTGCGGCACGCTGGATACGCTCGCGCTGGAGTCGGCCAGGCTGGAGCGTCGCCAGGCGGCGGCCCCGGCGGGAGAGGCCCGCTCGGCCCCGAGGACCCGCCCGCTGCCGCCAAGCCGGGCGACGTCAGCGCCGTCGCTTCGGAGGCTTCTCTGCGACGACCTGGCTGGCTCGCCACCGCTCTCCGAGGCGCGGGCTCCGCCTGCGGCCGACAAGGTGAAGCGGAGGAAGCTGGCCCGGCGCGGAGCCAAGCTGGCCGAAGCGGGGACGCTGGACGTGCTACGGCTGAGCACGGTGCGGACGCAGACAGCGAGGTCGAGGCACCAGCAGCTGGCCGCCGAGTTCGACGAGTGGCTGGCGGAGCAAGGGTTACCTGCGCGGCCGACGTTCTCCCTCGACGAGCGGAGGATGATCCCGCTGACGTCCGAGGCTGCCGCCGAGCTGGACTGCAGCCTTGCGGAGTGGATGTTGGGGCAGCACCTGGAGGGCGTCGATCACTGGCGCGGGGTGCAGATGCTGGCCGCCCTGCAGTGGAGCGACCCGCGTCTCGGCCGCGACGGCGGTGCTCGTCTGCCCGGGGCCAGGCAGTCGCTCCGAGGCTGGAAGGTGCTGACGCCGCCGTTGACGAGGCTGCCGCTCCCCGAGGAGGTCGTTGCCGCCCTGGCTTGCGAGCTGGTGAGCATGGGCCTGTGGGAGGCGGCGGCGTGCGTGGTCCTGTCGACGGCGTTCTACATGCGACCAGGCGAGTGGGGCCGCGTGCGAGTCAAGCACGCGATTGCACCTCGCGCCTCGGGAAGCCAGGCCCTGCGGCAGCGGGCCCTGGCGCTGCACCCACACGACGGCGAGGAGGCGCGGCCCAGCAAGACGGCGGAGTTCGACGAGAGTCTCGTGCTGGACCTCACTTGCGACCTGTGGCTGGGCGGCGTGCTGCGGAGACTGACCGCTGCGAAGCCGCCAGACGCCGCGCTGTTCAGCTTCTCGGTAGAGGAATTCGCCGAGATCTTCAGACGCGCGGCCCGCCGCCTCGGCCTAGAGCCCGCGCCGATGCCATACCTTCTCAGGCACGCCGGCGCCAGCCGAGACTTCGCCAACGGACTCAGGCCGTTGAGCGAGGTGAGACGGCGGGGTCGCTGGAAGACGGACGCCTCCGTGCGGAGGTACGAGAAGGGAGGAAGGCTGAGCGAGCAGTTTGCGAAGCTGGCCCCAGCCCTCCAGAAGCACGCGCTCCGTTGCCACAGCGTGCTCCCCGGGGTTCTCTTAGGGAGGCTCGCTACCCCGCCGTTCCTGGCCCGCTAGTTGTGAGAGTTTTTCTAGAAATATTATCAGGCTCTGGTCGCCTCGCGCGAGCGATGGCGCGAAAAGGGTATCATGTGCTAGCGTGGGATATCAAGCACGGCCCTTTGTTTGATCTGCGTGACGTTTCGAGGCAACGTCTGATTCGGGGCTGGATTCAAGCCGGGCTCATCTTAGGTGTGCATCTTGGAACGCCGTGTGGCAGCTGGTCGCGCGCCAGAGATATCCAGCCTGGTCCTCCCCGTCTCCGCTCCGACACATGTGTCCTAGGCCTGCCCGACTTGATACCGTCGGCGCAGGCCGCAGTAGACTTTGGAATTCAGATGATGCGCTTCAGTGTTTCAGTTCTAACGGTCGCCCGCCGCATGCAGGTGCCGTGTTCGGTGGAGAACCCTTCAACCTCTCGACTGTGGCTCGCACCGCCAGTCGCCTCGCTTGTCAAATCCACGCGGTGGTCTTTCGTCAGTACAGACTTCTGTCAGTGGGGAACCCCTTGGCGGAAGCGCACCAGTTTTTTAGGAACTTACATTGATTTGACCCCCTTGGTGAAGCTGTGTAAGCGCACTCAAGGCTGCTGCAGTCGAACAGGACAGCCCCACCAAGTGTTGGAGGGGCGTGCGCCCGATCGTCGGTTCTGGACCGCCGTCGCCGAGGCTTATCCTTCTCGTCTGTGTCAGCAGTTGGCCCGCGCTTTCGATGATGCGATCGTGTGCCGTAAAGTCTCTGCCATGGCTTCGAAATTGTCAATGTAACCTTCAGTAGGTAAATGAAGACGGCCTTGGGGCCATTCGACTTCGTGTTTTTGGCACTGTCCCTTCTGGCGTGTGGTAACCTCGAGGTGCAGGCTTCTGTCGCGCGCGTCGCTGGTGGCGAGCTCCCTTCCAGAAAAAGTCGGCGTGCCTTGGTGATCGAGGCGCTCCGCGCATGGCAGGTCCAGACAGCTGGGGATACAGTTCAGTGTTCCACACGTTTTTGAATCCCTAGTTGTCGCTTCCCTGCCGTCCATCCATGGCTGTTTGCTCAAAGTCTCCCTCCTTCCCACCCTGTTTCTTTATCGATTTTTCTGTCCGCAATTCCTGGCCAGCCGTTGGCGTGTGCTAACCTCGAGGTGCAGGCTTCTGTCGCACGCGTCGCTGGTGGCGAGCTCTCTTCCAGAAAAAGTCGGCGTGCTTTGATGATCGAGGCGCTCCGCGCATGGCAGGTCCAGACAGCTGGGGATACATCATCATGTTCATCATCAGTTTGATTGCCAGCAGCATCAGCATCAGCATCAACAGCACTATCAGTACCGTTAGCAGTATCACTATCATAATCCTCGTCACCACCACCACCACCACCACCACCACATCATCATCATCATCATCAGCATACCTATCCTCATCATCAGCAGCAGCATCATCATCATCATCGAACTTCCATTCGCCATCCTCCCTCCTCTGCTCGTTCCCCTGCCTCCCCATCCTACCAACTTGTCTTCCTTCCTGCTGTTGCATCCCTGCCTCTGTTCGAGGCCGGCTGCGGCAGCTGCAAGGGCTCCGAGAAGGAGGCGCGCCCTGAGACCGTTGTGGCCATTCCTTGCAAGATCTTGTAGGGGAGGAGGAGGAGGAGGAGGAGGAGGAGGAGGAGGAGGAGGAGGAGGAGGAGGAGGAGGAGGAGGAGGAGGAGGAGGGGGAGGAGGAGGAAAGGAGGAGGGAGGGGAGGAGGAGGAGGAAGGAGGAGGAGGAGGAGGAGGAGGAGGAGCAGGAGCAGGAGCAGGAGGAGGAGGAGGAGGAGGAGGAGGAGGAGGAGGAGGAGGAGGAGGAGGAGGAGGAGGGAGGAGGAGGAGGAGGAGGAGGAGAAGCAACAATCTTCTGGTCGGCTGCGTCTGCCCTTCGCTTGGGGGTGAATGGAATTTGGTAGTCGAGCGTGCGCGCACCACGGGTGGCTTGCCGCCCTTAGCCCATGCGCCTGGAGCCCCGTGCGTCATCCCCAGGCCATCGTACGCTCCCGTCGGTGTCCAAGCCAAGGGAAGCGAGGTACGAGGAGAGGAACGCGGGCTTCGACCCATGCTGCACCCTCGAACTGCGAAGTGCACGGGAGCTTGAGTTTTCCGTGGCCCCAGCCCTGGGCCTCCATGCACCGAGGGGAGGAGCTGCCATGAGGAGGCGTCCGCTGGCAGAAAGAACTTGGGGGTCCTCGCCGTCCCAGAAGTGCTCGGACCCCTGGGCGGCAGGGGCTGTCCGTCGCGGGCTTCTTGCAACCCTCACCTCTGGCACGACGCCCCCCCCTCTTTTCGCGGGATGTCAAAGGTGCCCCCTGGCCAACGATGCCCCCGGCTTCTCGCTCCGCTATGGGGCCCAAAAAAGAGCCACAAGACGGCCCCAAAGGGCCCCCAGACGGCCCTGAAGGGACCCTCAAGAGAGGCCCAACGAAGGGCCCCCAACGGACCGACACCGCTAGAGACGCCCAGGATGGTTTCAAACAGTCCCCAGAGGCCCGGAAAGGCTTCAAAGAGGGCACTACAAAGTAAGATTGATTGATTTAGGTGGACTTCGGACCGATTCAGTGTTCTCCGATCTACAGGCTTCCGACCTCATCAGACGCCAGGAGGAGGCCCCGAGAGAGACCCCAAGAATTCGCCACGAGGCAAAATCCATTGGTTCCCCATAAGTTTTGGACGGGTTCCTCGTTCTCCTTTTCACAAGTTTCGCGCCGCCGAAAACGGCTGGAGAGGTTCCCACGCGGAGCCCAATATCCCCCCAAGGCGACCCAGGAGGGCCCCAATAGCGCCCCAGAACGGCCCCAGAGGGCACGGCCGAACACAGACGGCCCCGGCAGGGGGCCCCAGCAGGCCGGCACCGACAGTTGGCCCTCGCGCAGTTCCCTGAGGGCCCCAGGAAGCCCCATGGGGCCCCCAAGACGCTTCCGAGAGACACCACATGCCCCCAAAAATGTGTCCGAGAGGCTTCGGGGAAGCCTCCCATCAGATTCTGGGAAGCTTTCAGGTTCGCAGAGTTGTTTTTGCTTGTCTGGGGCCGCTTGTTGCGTCGGGGGGCACTTCTCGTCCTCCACCTCAGTGCTTCTCTTGCACCCGTCGTCTTCGCTCCACCATCCCCCTTTACTCATACCCCCAATCACGCCCCCAGCAACGAATTCTTCAGCGCCGGGCCGGAACCACCCGTTTCCACACCTTTGGGCACCACAAGACTTCCACGCTACACAGTTCGGCTGCAAGACAGGCATAACTGAGCGCATGGTAGCAGCAATTTGGCTCAAAGTGATGCTAGTCTGGATTGGGAAGCGGTGTGCGTCACTCTTGCCTTGCGCAGAGTACCAGCGGCACATTGCTTGTCACCGAGCGCATCATAGGGAGGTGCGGCAGGAAGACAAGCATGCCAGCAGGAGGGTGTCTGATTTGGCAGTCTTGGGAAGCAGAATAATGTAATTGCGGTTTGTGCTTTACCATCCATCTGTGCATCTACTGGATGTGATCGTCGGTTGAACAGCGGCGGACGACTTGGGACTTCACACCATTGTACCCAAACTGGTGTCCAGTAGTACGCATTTCCACTACACAAACTTCAGATTATCGGACTACGTCCGCCAGGTCACCCTCGCCAGCGATCATTGCGATTAGCATGTTGTGCCCATCATCTTGGACTGCACCATCCAATGTTTGGTATTGGTTTCTGTTTGGGCGGATCCGATTTCCGTCCGCGCGGATCCGATTTCGGATTTTCTGGATCCGCGCCTGGTCCATTTTGTGACGAGGGATCCGATTTCTACCCCGTTTAAAACGTATGAGTTTCAACCATGCACCGGGGACCCAGAAGAAGTCGGATCCGCGGACCCCGGAACCCGCCTGCGTTATACTTGGGTGATGGGTTCGGTCATCATCCTCCCAGGATGGGTCCTGCGCTGTCTGGCGTACTCCAATAAAATTTTCCGCGCGCGCGGGCCCCATTCAACATGAATGCATATCTGTCCGCCTGGTTGCTGCACGCAGCTCGCCGAGACGCCGTCCGTTCGGAGGCGCCGATGTTATCTCGCGCGCTCATCATCGCCTTGTTCACCTCAAGAGGAAAACCTTTCGTCCTGCGTAAATGCGAATCGGCCCCGCGCCCCCTGACCCAACGGACTGCCTGTGCGCTTTCTCACACGATGGCGCGACGCCTCGCGCTCGGCGCGGTATCCACGGTCGCGCATCCTGACCGCCCCCCATCAGGGTCGCCCGCGCGGAATCCGCGGGGCTGTGCGGCAACCGACAAGTCCGAAGGCCCAAGTGGCAGTGCGTTTCGGGGCCAGGTAGGAACCAACAAGTCCGAAGGCCAGAACGCCCATCCCCAGGACGAAAGTTTTTTCTTCTTGGGCCCCGAACGACGGTTTGAAGTCTTGTCTGAGGTAACCGCCATCGGATCCAATGAAGTTCACGCTGGTCCAATTTTGGTATTGGTTTCTGTTTCGGCGGATCCGATTTCCGTCCGTGCGGATCCAGTTTCGGAATTTCTGGATCCGCGTCTGGTCCACGGCGGATCCGATTTCTATTCCGTTGGACGGGGGACAGGAAAAAATCATGTCGGACCCCAGAACCCGCCCGCGGCGGGGGGGTCGGCCATTATCCTCCCAGGATGGGTCCCGCGCTGTCTGGCGCACTCCGATCAGCTTTCCGCTCGCGCAGGCCCCACTCAACATGAATGCTTCTCTGTCCTCCCAGCTGCTGCGCGCAACTCATCCAGACGCCGTCCGTTCGGCGGCGCCGATGGTATCCCGCGCACTCATCATCGCGATTTGCACCTCAAGGGGGGAACCTTTCGTCCTGCGTAAGTATGTGGGCGATCTTGGGTTTAAGATCGCCCAAGAAGCCTTCAAGATGGCCCCGAAACGGCCCAAGAAGTCCCCAAGACGGTCCCAAGAGGGCCCTAACACGGCGCAAGAGGCCTCCAAGACGCCCAAGATGTCTTCCAAGACGGCCAAGAGGGCCTCCAAGACGGCTAAGATGGCTCCAAGAGGGCCCCAAGACGGCCCAAGAGGCCTCGAAGACGGTCTGCCGTGCTCCTGTGGTCTGCCGTGC